TCGAATTGGAGGTGTGTGACGTGTTTCCAGAGGGATCTCCACATGGTGGAGAGAACAGAGGTCTGGACGCAGTGTTTGGTGTCGAGGAAGTGGAGGGTGTGGTCGCGAACGTTGTCTGGGAGGTAGCTTAGTCTGTCTTCTTCATCATCGGAGTACTCCATCTGTGATTTTAGAGTGCTGTTCGTGATCAGAAATAAACCCTGCAACTTGGGAAAGGGAAACTCTGCCACAAAGGAAAGTTGCAGAGAGCTTAATTGGTTTGGAATGGCAGGCACCGTACTCTGTTTTATTTTCATTTCAAATTTCGGCTGTTACGTGATTAATTAGTGGGGGGGATTAGTGCGGGGAGTGGGGTTAGTTAGCGGTAACCAAAAATTATTTAGGACAGTGAAATGTGAATTAGTAGTTGGGAATCTCACGTTTACACGACCCTAGTGTTTAGTGATTTTAACGGGATGAATTATGAATTATTACCCCATTTCTGTACAGAAACTTCCAAATTGGTCCTCAAATTTGTTCTTCAGCTCAAATATTGCTGTTTCTTCCACTTTCAATCCTAAATAAACAGGATTACCCATGTATAGGGCTGAAATTGGGGTAGACTCGTCCCTTACCCTCTAAGTAAGAACTTTGGTTGACCCGCCTCGATCGGCAGAATCAATTTATAAAATTGACTCGCCCCAGTACTCAAGCTTTCTCAAACTTCAATCACTTAGATAAACTGAAGGAATCTCGTTGGGTTGTTACTCAGAAAAACCCTCAATGAAGTAATTGATAAGATGAGGTGGTGCAGGGATCCACATTGTGAGGAAGTTTCAATCACTTCAATCGAGAGGAAGAAGGTTGGTGCTTTAACTCGTTAGAATTCTTACTTGTTTTTTACATGCCAGAAACACGAATAATCGAGGATCAAAGATATGACTGTCCCTAGCTAATACGTTTTAAGAGACAACGCAATCCAAGTTTTTATTTTATTTTTATATAATGGTGATTTTATTAAAGAAAGCAAACAGAACAAAGTACAAACAAACACGAACAAAGGCTTAGGAGGACTCAGATTACAAAAAATATTCAAGTTTGGTCACTCGAAATATTTAAATTCGTTGGTGGTACTTCATTTTACTGAAATCGTTCACGTTTGGTCACTCTCCGTCCAACTTTGTTAACTTTTGCTTACGTGGCGGTCAACTCTAAAAGTTGACCGTTAAATATGTGACGTGGCAATTTAAAAATAATAAAATTAAAATTTTCAAAATTTTCAAAATTGCCATCTCATTAGAGAAAGGAGGAAAGAGGAGTATTAAAAAGACTAGTCAACGTTGATGTGACGTATGACTTGTAATTATAAATTTTAATTTCTATTTATTTTCATAGCAAATGAATAAAATAAGAAAAATAAAACCATGCCTCCCGTCTTCGCCTTTAACCCTCTGTCGCCGCCACCGTCGGAGCTTAAATACTCCTCCTGTCCTTACCTCTGCCCTTTCCCGCACTCGCTCCGGAGCTTAACTGGTGTACATTGGCTTCTTCTTCCTCTCTTTGTTGCTCCCCGAATTTCTTTCAATTTCACAAGAGGGGTAGTTGACATTTACTTGGGTGGAGATAGAGGGCTGGAATGGTGACGAGGAAGGCCTTCAGGCGAGACAAAGCGTCGACGCATCTGGACTCATCAACAGCAGCAGCTTCGCCACCATCATGGCGGCGTCGCCTCCCACCCAGACCTCCGCCCTCCATCGCCGACGAAAGCATCGAGTTAGGCTGGGGCGAAGCGTGGAGCGGCGAACTGTGACGAGGAAGGCCACTTAGCCTCATGACCCTACCTCTCTTCTTCCACTTTCTCGACTCCAATAGGCGAGCATAGTCGTATCAGGTCCAGGATCTGGCAAACGAGATCCAACAAACGACGAAGGGCTAGCGGCGCTCCACTGCCTCGATTTCGAATGGTGAAGGACGAATCCGCTCCCTTCACTGCCCCTAATCTCGGTTGCTTCCTCAACTCTCATCTTTCTCAACTCCGAATCGGCTCCCTTGTTCGAACAACGAAGGGAGAACAACGAATCGGGTCCAAAATCTGGTGAACGGGATCTAGTGAATGGCGAAGGTTGAATCGGCTCCATGCAACACCGGCCTCCGCTGATCTCCACCGCTCCCTCTCTCGTTGCATCCTCACCCGACGCTAATCTCCCCCAAATCCATTTGTCGCTTTCCTAGTGCGCCGACTTCCTTTCTCTAATGATATGGCAATTTTGAACATTTTAATTTTATTATTTTTAAATTGTCACGTCACACATTTAACGGTCAACTTTTAGAGCTGACCACCACGTAAGTAAAAGTTAACGGAGTTGGACGGAGAGTGACCAAACGTGAATAGTTTCAGTAAACTGAAGTACTACCAATGGATTTAAATATTTCGAGTGACCAAACTTGAATGTTTTTTTGTAATCTCAGTGACCAACCATACAATTAATCCAAAAATACTAAAGCGGATAAAACTCCCTCATGACCCTGAACTCTCAACACTACGTTCAACTCGCTTTGATTGGGTCGACCCATTTTCAACAAATTCACAATTTAAAATTGAGGAAAATGAGAAATAAAAAATATTAAAGCATACAAAACTCGCTTTCGATCTAAAAACTGGTTAACAACGTGTTCAACTCGCTTTGAACAATTTTTTTAATAAATTAACACTTGGTCCAACCTGCCAACTACAAAAGCGGATAAAGGTCGCTCACAATACAACACTTGTCCATACCTTAGATTCGGGTTGACGGGTTCAATTGTCTTCCCAACCAAAAGAAGAAAAAAAGGAGAAATTTATTAATGCTAAAGTAGGTTTCAAGTCGCTTTGACGGGATCGAATTAAGTTGGATACCCTTGGATTTTGGGTTCAATTGTGATCATGCTCAACAAAAAGGAAAAAGTGAAAGAAAAAAAATACTAAAGCGGACAAAACTCGATCCCGATACAAAATTGGCCAACATTGAGTACATATGGTATGGATTTTCAGTAGCGACATTGGAAAACGGCGGGGGAGGGACAACTTAGGATTCCGTTGATAGTGTTTTGAGAAGGTTGTGAATTGGTGAGCGATGTTGAGGATTAGGCAGAGCATATCTAGTATGGATCTTTGATCGCGGCCATGGCCATGGCAAACGGTGGAAGACGACTACTAAGGATTCCACCGACAGTGATCGAGTTGGGTTGCGAAAAGGTGAAACACAATGGACAATAGATGTAAACCTAGCGAACACCCATGTGTTTGCGTTCAATTGTGATCATGCTCAACACAAAGAAAAAAGAAAAAGAAAAAACACTAAATATGATGAAACTCGGTCCCGATACAAAACTCTTGGTATCGGCCTTGGGAAACAGTAGTGGTGAACACCTTAAGATTCCACCGACAATATTTCGAGATGGGCTACAAAATGATTGGCAAAAGCAATGATTGTGTTAAAGTTAAGATACTAATGTGTTTGGATTCAATTGTGATCATGATCAACAAAAAGGAAAAATAGAAAGAAAAATTACTAAACAGGATGAAACTCGGTCCCGATACAAATTTCGTGGTAACGACATTGATTTGTGTGGTGGGGAACAACTTAGGATTCAGCCGACAGTATTTCGAGATGAGCTGCAAAATGATGGGCAAAGGCGATGATTTGTGCAAAAAGCCATAGACAAAAAAGCTAGCAAATAATAACTAAACGCAAAAGCGATGATTTGTGCAAAAAACCATAGACGAAAACCTAGCGAACAATAACTAAAGACAAAGGTTGTAGAAAAGAGTGGGGTAAAAAAAGAAGTTTGAACTTTCCCACTTGTACGTTGAGGAGTGTGAGAGTCACTAATAAATAGTAACCTACAACCTTGCCTTTTATATGTTAATAATTAATATTAACACAACAGACTATTCACACTTCATACTTAATGTATTCACACAACATATATAAACATGAGCTGTGAATATTCATGTGTTATCTAAAAAAATATGTCCAAAATATATACAATAATAATCTTATTAAATGATAAAAAGAGGAAATTTCCACAAAATTGTTTGGAAACAAAATCACTAAATAAAGATGTGCAAATAAAAAAAAAGCACAAGCACTTCTTTACCAAGAGGAATTTTATAATGATGGGCAAAGGCGATGATTTGTGCAAAAAGTCATAGACAAAAAGCTAGCAAATAATAACTAAACGCAAAAGCGATGATTTGTGCAAAAAACCATAGACGAAAACCTAACGAACAATAACTAAAGACAAAGGTTGTAGAAAAGAGTGGGGTAAAAAAAAAAGTTTGAACTTTCCCACTTGTATGCGGAGGAGTGTGAGAATCACTAATAAATAGTAACCTACAACCTTGCCTTTTATATGTTAATATTAACACAGCAGACTATTCACACTTCATACTTAATGTATTCACACAACATATATAAACATGAACTGTGAATATTCATGTGTTGTCTAAAAAAATATGTCCAAAATATATATAAATAATAATCTTATTAAATGATAAAAAGAGGAAATTTCCACAAAATTATTTGAAAACAAAATCACTAAGTAAAGATGTGCAAATAAAAAAAAGCACAAGCACTTCTTTACCAAGAGGAATTTTACAATGCTATATAGCATTGGTGCTATAGGTTTTTCCCTTTATGGTATAACTTGAAGTTGTACCTTTAACGTTATGGTACAACTTCAGATTGTACCTGTACTCTTTTGCCAAATTGTTTTATGGTACAACTTAAAAGTGTACTTTCATTTGATGGTGCCACAACATAAGAATACAAATTCCTTTATGATACAACCTGAACTTATACATTTAACGTTATGATACAACTTTAAGTTGTACATTAAAGCACGAATTTTTTATAGCATAATAGAATTTCTCGTTTACCAAACATCTAAACTGCAAAAAGTTCTCTTAAATTGATGGGGAAATATCACTATTCCCATCTAGAAATATAGAATTTGAGATCGGTTACCAAACATCTAAACTGCAAAAAGTTCTCTTAAATTGATGGGGAAATATCACTATTCCCATCTAGAAATATAGAATTTGAGATCGGTAGACAGCAATTAAACCCCCAACCGCTGATTACCGAAAAATACCCATATCGCTAATCAAATTGCGCCCGCGGACGTCACGATCCAACAGATTTAGATGGGCGGTTTTGATTGGGTGAGCCACCTACTGCTGCCTACTCATTCATGTTCCATACCAAGATAAGCCACACAGCCTCTGTGGATGTCTGGTGATTTCCCTCTTCTCCAGCTCTGGACACAACTCCATAACCCATGGAAGCTCTCGGTTTCACCGCATCATTTACCCCTTCCCTTCCCAATTCAATCAACAGTTCCCGCCTCTCCCATTTCAGATTCTGCTCTCAACCCATTTCTCCCCTTCATCCCATCCATGGAGACGCGTCGAAAAGGTCAAAACTTGTCTTCACTACCTTATCCTCAGCATCGTCGTCATCCACGGCTTCAACAACAACAGACCCGATTCTGGACTCACCCGTGAATGAAACAGAGGGCGAAGGGGAGAAGTTCGATTGGTTTGCACAGTGGTACCCTGTAATGCCGGTTTGCGATCTGGACAAGAGAATCCCACATGGGAAAACGGTGATGGGTCTCAATGTGGTCGCGTGGTGGGATCGGAACCAGAATGATTGGAAGGTGTTCGATGATACTTGCCCCCACCGATTGGCTCCGCTCTCCGAAGGAAGGATTGATCAGTCCGGGAGGTTGCAATGCGTTTATCATGGGTGGTGTTTCGATGGCTCTGGCGATTGTAAACTCATCCCTCAGGCTCCGATCGAAGGTCCTCCGGTAATTTGGTTCTCCGTGCCAACCATGTGTTTGTTTAAAATCCTCAACGAATTGTCAACGCCTTCTCGTCTACTATACTAGGTGCATCCAATAAGTTTTAGAATGTTTAGCAAAATGAGTCTGTTTCTGTATTTAGCCCACCTTATTTATGAAGTTCACAACCTTGTTCAGGTACACACAAACAAGAGAGCTTGTGTAGCAGCATATCCAAGTACAGTGCAACATGGTATCTTGTGGTTTTGGGCGAGTAGTGATCCCAAATACAGAGATATTCTATCAGTTAAAAAACCGCCTTACATTCCAGAGCTAGATGATCCTTCATACACTAAACCAATGGCATGTAGAGAGTTCCCTTTCGGGTATGTGAACGAACTTTCTACTCCTTTCTGACCATGACAAGTTGATTAGAGACTCAAGAGTATTCTTTGAAGCTTCAGAACTGAATCCTGCTTTGTAGTTGCTGCTGACTTCTGAGTTGTCTTCAGCAGCTAGGTGTGTTCATTGCAGTTCTCGCTTGCTGTAGCTAAAATGTAGTTTCTTGGTTGCAGATACGAGATCTTGACCGAGAATCTGGTCGACCCTTCTCATGTTCCATATGCACACTATAATCTACTCCCGAATCCAACACCAAAAGATAGTTGAGAACTTCTTTACGATAAAATCTTGTTTCATGATCTTGTCTTCGATTTGTGTTCTTGTGAAAGCTACTACTGACACTATATGTTCTTTCTCTAGAAAGGGTTGATAGAGAAGGAGGCACCCCAGTAAATATGCGAATACGAAATTTTGATATTAATGGATTTGATACTGCTAGATTTGGAGGGGCTAGCCAGTTCATTGCACCTTGTGTATACTATTCTTCTGTAAGTGTGTCAGCTCTACGAGAACTTGCTAAAAAAGAAGGCGATGGATCAGCATCTGCTCCTAGTAAAGTTAAGGTGGGACATAGTCAGAACGCTTTGGCTTTTTGTGCTTGACTCCTGGTACATCTTTGCATTGTTCATGTTCTTTCCCTTTCTGTGTTTTGAATTCTTCAGGATTCATCATCTCAAGCACCAGAGAAGAAAGTGCTCCTTGTTTTCTTTTGTATTCCAGTTGGTCCCGGCAAGAGCAGATTAATATTCACATTTCCAAGAAACTTTGCAGTTTGGGCAGATAAATTGGTTCCGAGATGGATTCTTCATGTGAGGCAAAATCTTGTTCTTGATTCTGACTTGTATCTTCTTCATCTCGAGGTAATACTAATACATCATCTCATTACCTCAGTTAAAAGACACCTCACATTTACTTTAGATTTCCTGAAAACAAAATTCCATTGCCCCATTATCCTTCAGGAGAGGAAGATATTGGAAGCTGGCCTTTCCAACTGGAGTAAAGCTTGTTTCATGCCAACAACAGCCGATTCCCAGGTAGTTGCTTTCAGGAGATGGCTGAGAAATTATTCTGGCGGGCATGTTAATTGGGGAACCAAGTTTAGTGGCGTACTTCCTCCTACTCCTCCCAAAGAGCAGTTGATGGACAGGCAAGCATTTCAATATGCTAAATGACAATCTCCTTCCAGAAAATACTTCATGTGAGCTGTCGATTTTCAGCTTCTGTTTGCTAATTGTTTCAGGTACTGGTCCCATGTTGTTAACTGCACAAGCTGCAATCGTGCATATCAAGTTCTGCAAGCCGTCGAGATAGCGTTGCAGATCATTGCAGTTGGTTCCATTGCAATTGCTGCTGCTATGAAGCAATCGGTAACTGTGAGAAGTGCACTTGCTGTGGCTGCAGTGCTCTGCTTTGCAGCTTCAAAATGGTTGGCTCACTTCATTTATAAGACCTTCCATTTTCATGACTACAAACATGCCCTTGTTTAGAAAGCAGTATTATTACTCTTGAAAATGGAACACCACAAATTGTAAGCGAATATACACAGGACTATATTGTGCACAACGTGCTAACCTGAAAGCAACATTGATATATGTCGGTGATGTGTGTCAAGAGACATTGCCACATAAACGCTATGTAACTAATTTTGTTGGAATTTGGAAATCCTTAGAGAATGGTGGATAGATTCTGTTGCTACTCACCATGTTTGTGTCTTCCTATACTTTGGCTGAACCGGACGAAAAGTTTATGAGGAACTCTTTAAGAGCCTAAGGCAGGGGAAGTGAGAAGATTGTCTTGACGATCACATTGGGCAAAGGCGTGACCCTGAACTACATGGTCCATGTTTCTGAAATCCGCAAAAGATTGGTCTCGCTATCATTTTTGGGCAAGAATAGGTTTAAGATTGTTTTTGTTTGTGATAAGGTTGTCATTATTAGTAAAAGTAAAGAGTGATATGTAAGTGAGAAAATGTTATTGGCATTTTCAAGCTCAATATCATGAATGTTATTAATAATACTAATAAGAATGGTTCTTCCAGTTCCAGGTACTAAATGCATTGTGGTACATTTATTCTTCATATGCCTCCTGGCCACTAGATTGTAGACTTTATTGGGATTGAACAACTTTATTGAGACCGCCCAGACTGTTAACTTTAGTCTATGATGGCGACATGTCATGGTCTCTGAGACCTCTCCATTCCACATTCTCCAATGCCTCTGCTTACTCTGGAGAATCTGGAAGTCTAGAATAAAGTGACATTCGAATTTTACTAACCTCATGTCCGTTCCCTAGCCAGACAATTCTACAAACAGATCTTTTGACATCTCCAATCTTCTCCTCCCTCCTCCACCTCGCAGTTCTCTACTCCTTAACCATCCTGCCACCACTTGGATCCCTCCGCTAGAAGACTTTTTGAAGATCAATTTCGACGCTGCTGTTTGTGCCACCGGGTGTTCGTCTGGGCTTGTTGTCCGTGGGTAACCAAGGATCGCCGAAAACCCTAACTGACTCCAACTCCAATTTGCCACTGTAATCCTTTCAACAAAAGATCCCTGCCAAAAAGAATGCTACGCCAACCCCAAGAAGCATCCCCCCTGGCCGAAAGAGAGAGGAAATTTGAACCGAAAGAGTATCGAGCACGATAGATTCTCGCAAGAAGAGAATTAGGTTCCCGAAGGATACGCCAAGCTACTTTAGCAAGAAGAGCTTGATTAAAACACCCAAACTCTCGAAACCCAAGGCCCCCTTCAAATTTACTAGCACATAACCCTCTCCAAGCACGCCAATGAATGCGACGTTGAGTCTGCGAAGCCCCCCACCAGAACCTTGCCATATGCGCATTGAGCCTACGAATAAGTTCAGAAGGAAGGCGGAAACAAGATATCACATAAATCAGTTATGCTGAGGCTATTGTTTTAAGAAGTACTTCCTTCCCCGCTGCGGATAAAGCCCGCTGTTTCCACTCTTGAAGCACCTCTAACAATTTCTCCCTAACGAACCGAAAAGTATCAACCTTGGATTGACCCATAAGCGATGGCAATCCAAGATACTTGTCTTGCAATCCAAACGAACCAACCCCAAGCACAAAGCTTAACTCCTCTTGATGTGGCTGAAGAATATTAGAGCTGAAAAAGGCTGCAGACTTATGAAGATTCACTCGTTGTCCACTTAAAGATTCATACTCATGAAGTAAGTGAATCAAAGCAGTGCAGTCCCGCCTGGATGCCCTTAAAAAAAATTAAGAATCATCTGCAAACAAAAGATGAGAGATAGGAGGACAAGATTGGTGGATCCTGATTCCATGAATCTCATGTTGATGTAACGCCTGCTTAAGCATTGCAGTAAGATCTTCTGTACAAAGGGCAAATAACAAAGGAGAGAGAGGATTCCTTGACGAAGTCCACGAGTAGACTTGAAAAAGCCAGATGGTTGCCCATTCATCATCATCGAAAATGACCCAGTAGTAACACATTCACGGATCCAGCCAATCCATTGAGGAGCAAATCCCAATCTACTGAGTAACGCAGACATATAAGGCCACTCGATTCAGTCATAGGCTTTCTCCATGTCCAATTTTAGAGCCATGAATTTTTCCCTCCCCTAGCGTTTGTTCTTAACAAAATGCGTGACTTCATGAGCAATCATAACATTATCAACAATTTGTCGATCCCTAACAAAACCATTATGCTCTTCAGAGGCCAAAGAAGGAAGCAAAGATCAATAATTTTAGTGATAACCTTGTAAAGAAATTGACAGAGACTGATTAGTCGTAGTTGCGAAACACGATCCACAACCTCAACTTTAGGAATCAAAGTCAACATTTTATTTCTGATAAGGCCACAAAACGAAGGCTATAAAAAACCTTTTGATATGAAAGACTTGGAGGCCCATTCGCCAGCCTCCCCGAAGAACATTCCGGGCCCGAAACGGGCTAACAAATTGAAGCTAGCTAAGGCATCCGTTCCAGAATGTTGGGCCAAAACAAAATCAAAACCCGACTTTGAGAAAAAGAAGTCGCAGCAGCCAGCAAGTTAATCATTTGTACACGAAAGGCATCCTTCTGATCCATTTGTTTGACGTACGGCACAGACATTAATTCCTCTCCTTTGAAAAACCACAACAGTACACTGTACATACAAACCAAACCAAAACAAAATGATAGACGTTTTACTTATTTGGGATTTATGTCGGTTTGAATTATTTAGTTCGGGATTATTTTGGTTATTGGGAAATAGTTGGGGAATTAATAAGTTGGGGTAGTTAGTCGGTAATTGTGTTTTGGTATTTAAACTATTGTTTTACGTAGGTAATGGCAAGCAAGAATAAACCTAAATCCTAATTGCTCTTCCTCTCCCTCTCTTCCCTCTTTGGCCGCCGAGCCTTCCCTCTCCCTCTTTCAAGCTGCCGATCGGCAGCAGCCCTCACCCCACCTCTTTTCTCATTCCAACTCCCTAAATTCTTCTATCCTCAATTCCCTAATTCACCGGATCAATCCCTAGTTGATCCCTAATCCCCAATCTCTCGATAGAGCTTAATCCGGAGCTCTATCATTTGGTATCAGAGCCCGGTTCTTGGGTTCGAATACAAACGAAGAAAGAAGAGCGCAATGGTGGCAACGAAATCGATGCAGGCCGCTGAGAAGGCTGCCAAGGCGGCGGCGCAGGAGCAAGCCTCGATCACGGCCTCGACGGGACTGCCGGAGGCTGGCGACGGCGGTCATGGGGTCTCCGATCCGCGGGACGGGGAACTGGTGGACGAGACAGAGAAGCTGGAGCTGATCCAAACCACCTTGAATCGCCTAGTAGCTGAGTTTGAGAAGGAGCGCGAGGAATGGCGGGTTGTCCGGCGCGAACAAGGCGAGCAGCGGCGCACACAGGAGGAGGAATCCCGGCGAGTTTGGAAGCGGTTCGACGAGGTGCAGAAGGTCGTGGAGGCGTAGCCCGCCGCGCACACAACCAGGCCGAAGAGCAGCGGCGGCGGCGGTGCAGGGGGCGGTAGTCTGAGCGGGGCGGGCGAATCGCCGGCGGACGGAGGCGCGGAGGCTAGCGCGGCGGCGGCGGCGGACAGCGCGCGGAAAGGAGCGGTGGTGGCGGAAGCGCCGCCGGCGACGGCGGCCGTGGTGGTAGAGGCGGCTGAGGTGGTGAACGCGGGCGGCGGGGGTAACCTGGCCGGCGCAAGCGAGCGAGTGGGCCCTGGCCAGCAAGGACGCAGTGGCGGACCTGGGCTGCTACCGACACCAACGGCCCAGGAATTGGCGGCCCGCAAGGGCAAGGCCAAGATGCCAGGGTATGACAATGGGACCCAACCAACTGGGTATGGGCCACCTAGGCTAATGGGCCGAGCTGATATTGTGGGCCCTTATCACGAGCCCAGAGGGCTAGGGTGGCTGAACATGGACCCAGAACGGGTCGAGGAGGAGCTCAGCCTGGTGGACCAGAATGCATCGTGGGCCGACCCGGCTGGTGCTGAAGATTACTTGGGCCCGGGCCCGAAAGGGGGCCGAGCCGCGTGGAGTGGGCCGTGGCAGGAGGATCGGCTTGGGCCGGGTGGGTGCGGATTGGGCCGAGGAGGCGGGTCAAACCGTCGGGTCGAGCAGGAGCCGACCAAACCAGGCTGGGGCGGAACCGGGCGGGGCGAACCAGGGCGAGTTGACCCGGGCCAACCCAGAAGACCGAACCGGCTCGGGTCGGGGTTGGTTAGATCGGCCAGCATGGACCCGAATATGTGGCAAGGGTCGTATGGAGCGGGAAATGTGACGGGTCCGATGGGGAGTGGTGCCGCAGGCAGTTTTGGGCGAGGAAGAGAGTCACCGCTCTACCAGAACCAGCAGGGTGATCCGGGTTATGACAGGTATGGTTCATATCACCCTGCCTATGATGGAACTGAAGGGATGGTCTTTAGGGCCAAGCCCCCGACCATTGAGTTTCCCAAATTCAACGGTCAGGAGGATGCCGGGTTGTGGTTGTATGCAGCAGAGAGGTGGTTCAGAAACCACCCCATACCGGAGGAGAGGAAGGCACATCTGGCGTCCTTCTACTTAGAAGGAGAAGCTCTGCAGTGGTGGGAATGGATGGAGAGGTCATATGGGGCGGTGGGAACCTTGATCACCTGGCCGCTGTTTCAGGAGGAGCTGCGTTACCAGTTCGGTAAATCGGAGGGATGGGCGCCGGAACAGTTGGCCAAGCTTAAGCAGACCGGCTCAGTAGCGGATTACCGTGCGGAGTTCTTCAAACTGGGCAATCAATGTCATGGGGTTTCGGAGGAGACGTTGGTGGGGCTGTGTATGGCAGGCCTGAAGCCGGAGATCGCTGCTGCTGTCCGGGTCTTTGAACCGGATTCCTTGAAATCTGCTTTTCATCTTGCAGGGTACAAGGAAGAGGAGCTTGCGAGTTGGAGGAGCACCATAGGCCGCTATCCGAGGGCTAGTGGTGCCGGGAGCAGTAGTGGGGTCGGCAGTGGAGGAGGAGGAGTGGCAAGAGCCACGGCTGGAGCTGGGGGATCCACGGTAGTGCAGGCGCCAGGAGCGGCGGCAAAGGGTGGGGTGCGACCGCCACCGAAGGGGTTTGTGCGCCTATCCCCGGCAGAGATCGAGCAGAAGAGGCGGGAAGGGAAGTGCTTTAACTGCGACGAGAGGTTCACGACCGGTCATAAGTGTGCACGTACGGACTTGATGATGCTGGTCGGAAGGTGGGAGGACGAGGCTGAGGATGAGGCGAGGGAAGGAGAAGATGCAGGAGAAGGCTATCAACCTTGAGGACAAGGTTGTTTTGAAGAGAGCGGGAATGATAGACGTTATACTTATTTGGGATTTATGTCGGTTTGAATTATTTAGTTCAGGATTATTTTGGTTATTGGGAAATAGTTGGGGAAGTAATAAGTTGGGGTAGTTAGTCGGTAATTGTGTTTTGGTATTTAAACTATTGTTTTACGTAGGTAATGGCAAGCAAGAATAAACCTAAATCCTAATTGCTCTTCCTCTCCCTCTCTTCCCTCTTTGGCCGCCGAGCCTTCCCTCTCCCTCTTTCAAGCTGCTAATCGGCAGCAGCCCTCACCCCACCTCTTTTCTCATTCCAACTCCCTAAATTCTTCTATCCTCAATTCCCCGGATCAATCCCTAGTTGATCCCTAATCCCCAATCTCTCGATAGAGCTTAATCCGGAGCTCTATCACAAAATGGCATGTTTATTATTAAAATAATGAGTCCTATCGTCTCCGGAAGCTGAAATACTAATGATGAAAACTTAATTGCTTGGACTGATCCTCGCTCAACTAGCTGCGCTCTGGTGCTGAACCAACCTTGTTCTTTTCTTGGACAGACTAGGCCGTTCGTTTCCGCGGCTGGTGAAACTGTTTAGCTAGCTTAGGAAAGTTGAGGCAGGCCGGTGAAACAAGCATATGATCAGATAAATGGAGAGGAAACAGGAAAGAGTGTGGATTTCTGTGGTTGTGTTAATTAAGGCTGGCAATCGGTCGGTTTCGGTTTAATCGAAAACCAAAATCTGGGTTTTCGGTTTAACCGAGACACAACCAGCTGCTACCGTCGAGGGGAAAATACATCATTATCACATAAGTAATAAAATAACATTAGTAAATTATTTCAATTTTTTTCAGAGTACATTGTTAAGATGTATAATAACATTTTTTACACTTTCCTCGGTTTTCGGTTAAACCGAGACACGACCCGCTGCTTCCGTCGAGGGGAAAATACATCATTATCACATAAGTAATAAAATAACATTAGAAAATTATTTCAATTTTTTTCAGAGTACATTGTTAAGATGTATAATAACATTTTTTACACTTTCCAATATATTTTTTCCTTCCACTCTTTTCTTTCCATTTTTCTATAAAATAACATTTTCTCTTATCAACTTTTCATTCCTCAAAAAAAAAAAAAAAAAAAAAACACTTAAAAAATTCACTTCCCCTCCTCATTTTCCTTCCTTCCCTTCAAAAACAAAGTACAAAATTGTCACGAAGCATAGTCAGTCTGTGCAAACGCTAACGGATTTGACTGGAAAGCTGTTTAATTTTAATATCTAAAAAAAGCCCAATACACGTACGGGCCAGTCATGAAGTTGCTAACCCATTTCAAAGTGAGACCTTTTTCCAAATTTCAACTGCTGATCTAGATTCTAGATGTTGCTGCCTATGAATTGAGAACTTCTTCCGAACCCAATGACCAAGTTACTGTTCAACAGATTTCAGAAACGAACACCGTTTCATGATCACCAAATATATTGTGAGATTTTAATTAAATGGTATAGAGAAACAGGAGCAAGCCAATTAACTGAAACAGTAACAAAAGTCATAGTCCAAAATAATCAAAACCAATGGGCTCTATAGCTAGCTCTCAATTCTCATGCATATACTTCTATAAATACCATCCGATTCAACCCTATTCCATAGCTCTTCATATCCATTATCCACATATATATATCTCCCTCTCTTATACATTCCACATCTCATCTCTCTCAATAATCCATTTGCGGCAATTTGACATAGAAATAATGAAGGGTTTGTTTCTCGGTCTATCGGTTTGCCTGTTGGTGGCGCTTCTACCAGCTGCATTGGGTCATGATCATCCTGAGCCTAAGAAAGGCAGAGTCGCTTACTATCGCATGTCCAACGGCTTAGGAACGCCAACCGGAGCTTGCGGCTATGCCAAAACTGGTGTAACTTACAACTACGGCAACGTCGCAGCGGCATCTAGCAAGCTGTGGAAGAATGGAGCTGCCTGTGGCGCTTGTTATCTAGTGAAGTGCGGGATAAAAGGCATCTGCAACAATGAAGGAGTGAAAATAGTGGTGACGGATCGCGGAGACGGAGACAACACCGACTTCATCCTCAGCTCCCACGCCTTCGAGACCATGGCTCTACCGAACAAGGCTTCCCAGTTGCTACCCAAAGCCGTCGTCGACGTCAAATACGAGCGAATTCCGTGCAAGTATCTGTTGATTGGTAATTTGCAATTAAAAAATATAATAATAAATAAATAAAAGGTGGAAGGTTCCAAGCTTGGTACAGGAACACTACATAATTCAGCCTACCTAAGTTGACAAACTTCACATGGAGGAGTGCTTTACCAACAGGACATTGATAAGAAAAGCCACCTAATGTATTTATACTAGAGACATGGCATGCTTGGGAGATTCTCAAATATCATCATGTCTCCAATCCCATCTGTGAAAGAAGAAAAAGAAGGCAAGAGTTAATGCATGGGCCAATGGAATTAAATTTGTGTTTCCATCTTCCACAAGTGGCAACGTGGGTGGAGGAAATAGATGGCCATTTGTATTAATTGTAGTATTAGTTTCTCTTTCAATTGCAATTATATATATGTATGAAATGATATGGGATGGGTAGAGAAGAGAGTGTCAGAGAGACATAAAAAAAGAAAGAATGGAGTCTCTGTATCTATGTGAGTTGTAAGAACAAGTGCCAAAAATTAAGGCCTTGTTTGTTTGAGTGTTTATTAAATTGAGTGATTAAACACCATTGTTTCCTTTGTGTTGATCCTAATTTCTACCACAATTCCGCTAATCCCCAACAAATTTGGTATCAGAGCTTAATACCCTTCTATCCTCTCAAAAATCCCCAAATTTCTAGCCTACCCAATCCTCTAAAAAATCCATGGCAACAACTTCCTCAAACACCATGTTTGCTACCTCTTCTAATCAAATTCCCATTTTCGATGGAGAATTGTACGAGTACTGGAGTGCCCAAATGGAGCCAATTTTCATCTCTCAAGATCTGTGGGATATAGTCCAAGATGGCTATGAAAGTCCGCAGGAAGATGATGAAGACTCGAAGAAACGATCAGGCAAGCAGACAAAGGAGTACAAGGAGAATGCCAAGCAAAATGCCAGCGCCTTGAGAATCATTCAGCAAGCAGTGAGCAAATCAATTTACCCCAGAATCTATGGCATCAAAAAGGCCAAAGAAGCTTGGGATGTCTTGCGTGAACAATTTCAAGGTTCTGAAAAGGCAATCTCTATCAGGCGCCAAAGTTTATGGCGACAGTTCGACAACTTGATGATGAAGGAAACCGACACCATCAAAGACTTCCATTCGCGTGTGGCAGAGACAGTCAACCAAATCAAAGCCACCGGTGATGTCATGGAAGAAAGAAAAATTGTGGAGAGAATTCTCCGCAGTTTATCATCAAAGTTCGAGCATATTGTTGCTGTCATTGAAGAAACCAAAGATCTGGCAAATCTACCAATGAGCGAGTTGATGGGCTCACTTGTAGCACACGAGCAAAGAATGAGCCGCTTCACCAAACCGCCATTGGAGCAAGCTTTCTCGTCAAAAGTCAACATGGCGGAAAGTAAATATGCCAAATCGGAGCAAGGCCAGAGAGGGGGAAACTCACAAGGGAGAGGAAGAGGAAGATCCAATTACAGAGGAAACAACAGACAAAATTATCAACAACAAAGATCGGGCTACACCGGCTCGAGTTGCATAATTTGCAAAAAGGCGGGTCATGCAACAAAAGACTGCAGATTCAAGTGCACCAAGTGCAAAATTCAAAACCACTCCCAGAGAGATTGCTGGTTCCAGAACAAGCAAGAAGATGGCGAGTCAAGCGGCACCAAAAATGAAGAAAGCAATATGGTGGCCTTGTCATGCTTGTATGGTGAGCAAAAATCACAGCTTCCCTGGATGGTGGATAGTGGTTGCAGTAACCACATGACTGGAGATCTGGAGTCCTTCACCGACATCGATGACAAATACCGCTCTCAAGTCAAATTGGGAGACGGGAAGAAGCTAAAAGTGGAAGGAAAAGGCACAGTTATTGTATGCACAGAAGAAGGCAACAAAACTCTCATTCGAGATGTTTTGTATGTTCCGGAGCTAACTCTCAATCTACTTAGCGTGGGACAACTGATGCAGAAAAATTACAAGCTATTGTTTGATAATGGCGTGTGCGAGATTATCAACAAAGCAGACAATTTTATGGTGGCCAAAGTCCCGATGACTTCCAACAGAATTTTCTCTCTTGCTATGTCACAAAATGGTGAAGTAGCATTCAAGAGTGAAAATCTGGATCAATCCTTCCTATGGCATCTCAGATACGGTCATCTCAACTTCAGAGGCCTCAAATTGCTGAGGCATAAAAATATGGTGGCGGGACTTCCCCAGATCAACAGAGAAGATAAAATATGTGAAGGATGCATATATGGCAAAATGCATCGTTTACCATTTCCAAAGACATCTTGGAGAGCAAAAGCGCCACTGGAGTTGGTACATGCAGACATATGCGGTCCAACCCGAACACAATCACTCAGCGGCAAAAGATACTTTCTACTATTTGTAGATGACTTCACCAGAATGATGTGGGTATTCTTTCTGGAGCAAAAGTCAGAAGCTTTTCCCAAGTTCCTTCAATTCCAAGCAGTAGCTGAGAAGGAAAGCGGCCATCAAATCAAAACTCTCCGTACAGATCGTGGAGGAGAATTTATTTATACTCCGTTCATGGAGTATTGCCGCAACAACGGGATAAAAAGGCAACTGACGGTCCGTTACACACCACAACAAAATGGCGTGGCAGAACGGAAAAATCGCACGATTGTGGAGATGGCGAGAAGTATGCTCACAGCAAAGAAGCTTCCCAACAACTTGTGGGCAGAAGCGGTCAATACAACAATTTACATCCTCAACAGATCACCAACCAAAGCAGTTCGGAACAAGACACCGATACATGCGTGGCACCACAGGAGGCCACAGGTGAATCACCTCAAAGTCTTTGGGTGCGTAGCTTATGCACATATCTCTACCCCAAACCGAGACAAGTTTGACCAGAAGGGTGAGAAGCTAATTTTTACCGGCTACAGTGATGAATCCAAAGGCTATCGTCTTTACAACCCAGTAAAGAACGAGGTGGTGGTTTCCCGAGATGTGATCTTTGATGAGATGGCGGAGTGGAATTGGGAAAATCCAATTTCTCAATCTCCACCAAGTTATGAAATTCTGGAGGACTCAGCAACTCCAGAAGACCCCAGCAACGACCCAGATCCAGTTGCTAGTCCAGAAAGAAATTCTGCACCTAGCCCAGAAGGAGACAACTTCAGAGACGTCGTAACAGACTCGGATTCACCTCCATTGAGAACAAGGTCTTTGCGAGAAATTTATGAAACAAGTCATGTGGCATATTTTTCTTGTGAGCCTCAAGTCTTTGAAGAAGCAACCAAAGATGAAGTTTGGAATGAGGCGATGGATGCAGAAATTTCCATGATCGAGAAAAACAAGACATGGGAGCTTGTTGATCAACCGGAGGACAAGCCGGTTATAGGTCTCAAATGGATCTATAAGATCAAATTCAATGAAGATGGTACTATCCAGAAGTACAAAGCTCGACTGGTGGCAAAGGGCTATTCACAGCAGCCCGGTATTGATTTTCACGAGACATATGCACCAGTAGCAAGGATGGAGACCATCAGAACAGTTCTCGCTCTAGCTGCTCAACTGGAGTTACCAGTATACCAGTTGGATGTCAAATCAGCATTTCTGAATGGAGAACTGGAAGAAGAAGTCTATGTGGAACAACCACGAGGCTATGAGAAGAAAGGAGAAGAAGACAAAGTCTATCGTCTCCGAAAGGCTTTATACGGGCTGAAGCAAGCACCGAGAGCTTGGAATAGCAGAATTGATCGATATTTTCAGCAAAACGAATTTCAAAGAAGTCCGAGTGAAGCATCTCTCTACATCAAAAAGGGAGAAGGAAAAGATTTTCTAATGGTTTGTTTGTATGTTGATGACTTGATTTACACAGGAACAAGTCAGCGGATGATTGAAGAATTCAAAAGTGCCATGATGAAAGAATTCGAGATGACGGACTTGGGACTCATGAAGTATTTCCTTGGGATCCAAGTGAAGCAGTCACCTGGAGAAATATTTATTTCACAGGAGAAGTACACCGAAGATATGCTGAAAAGATTTCACATGGCAACGTGCAAACCAATCTCAACACCGATGACGTTAAACGAGAAATTACAACGCAATGATGGAGCTGAAAACGTCGATGGAAAGCTGTACAGAAGTCTTGTCGGGTCACTCATTTACCTGACACATACCAGGCCGGATATATGTCATTCAGTAAGTCTTATATCAAGATTTATGAATGAACCTAGCAAACTTCATTTTGCAGCAGCCAAAAGAATTTTGCGGTATCTTCAAGGTACTAAAAAATTGGGCCTGACGTACAAGAAAGAAGCAGAAAGCAAGCTGACTGGATATACCGATAGTGACTGGGCAGGATCACTGGATGATCGAAAAAGCACATCGGGGTACATATTCTGTTTGGGTTCAAAACCCATTTCCTGGAGTTCAAAGAAGCAGAAGACTGTGGCATTATCTTCAGCGGAAGCAGAATATATCGCAGCTACTGATGCAGCATGCGAAGCGGTATGGCTAAAAAGATTAATTTCTGATTTGCAGCAAAATGAAAATGGTCCAACCATTATTCATTGTGACAACATGTCAGCCATAGCCATGACAAAGAATCCAGTATTTCACGCAAGATCGAAGCATATCGAGTTGCGTCATCATTTCATCCGAGACCTCGTCAATGAAGGGCTAATCGTGATGGAATTTATCAACACCGATGACCAGCCAGCAGATATCTTGACAAAGGCGGTCACCCGTGAGAAGTTCGAGAAATTCAAGCAGGTACTTCAAATTGCAAATTAAGAGGGGGTGTTGATTGGTAATTTGCAATTAAAAAATATAATAATAAATAAATAAAAGGTGGAAGGTTCCAAGCTTGGTACAGGAACACTACATAATTCAGCCTACCTAAGTTGACAAACTTCACATGGAGGAGTGCTTTACCAACAGGACATTGATAAGAAAAGCCACCTAATGTATTTATACTAGAGACATGGCATGCTTGGGAGATTCTCAAATATCATCATGTCTCCAATCCCATCTGTGAAAGAAGAAAAAGAAGGCAAGAGTTAATGCATGGGCCAATGGAATTAAATTTGTGTTTCCATCTTCCACAAGTGGCAACGTGGGTGGAGGAAATAGATGGCCATTTGTATTAATTGTAGTATTAGTTTCTCTTTCAATTGCAATTATATATATGTATGAAATGATATGGGATGGGTAGAGAAGAGAGTGTCAGAGAGACATAAAAAAAGAAAGAATGGAGTCTCTGTATCTATGTGAGTTGTAAGAACAAGTGCCAAAAATTAAGGCCTTGTTTGTTTGAGTGTTTATTAAATTGAGTGATTAAACACCATTGTTTCCTTTGTGTTGATCCTAATTTCTACCACAATTCCGCTAATCCCCAACAGTATCCGGGCCACGATGGTCTCACGGTGAAGGTAACGGAGCAGAGCAGGTTTGCGGAATACTTGTCAATTGTGTTACTGTACCAAGGTGGCCAATACGACGTTTTAGGCATCCAAATCTACGACGGAAGTGTGAAGCAATGGAAGGACATGAGGAATGCATACGGCGCCGTTTACGATCTGCCTAACCCACCAAAGGGAACGATTTCGTTGAGGCTGAAACTCAAGAATATTGCCTCCGGAGGAGCAGTGAAACTCGTCAAGCTGGATGACGTTATTCCTCGTTTCTGGAAGGCTGGAGTTGCTTATGACTCCAAGGTTAAGCTTGCTTAAGTTAATATAATTTAACCTGGCACAAGTGGGTTCTCTCGTCGCACTGTTTTAATTTAATTGTGTTTCAAGCAATAAAAAAGGTGAATAAACTTTGAAGACAAGCATTGTTACTATATATAAATTTGAAGCTGGGTTACTGTTGCCTAAGAACTCTCTCTGATTGGCCCATTAGTAATAAACTAATAATGATGATTTAATCCTATGAGAAAAGAATTGGAGCGATGAGAATTTCCTAAAGTTAATTAAATTACTACTTAGTTACTATAATGGACATTTTACATTTTGATATCCCAAATTTAATTTTAATGTTAATTTATTGAATCAATCCATGAATCCAATCCACCATAACATGAAAGTATAAATTTAGTTTGTACCACACAAGATGATGTATCACTCAATTGTAGGAGAAGATTCAACCATTTTATATTTGTTCATTACGTGAAACATTAAATAAATGATAAAAGAGAGACGACTCTAAAATATTGCAAGAGAAAATTTATAAACTCATTTAGTACATATACGGGGAAACAAACTTCTACTAATTACATGTAACAAAATATGCGACATCTACATAAGCAAGCGTCAATAAATTGCTACGGTGAAAATGGTTGACTGTTGTATTGACGGCCAACTAAAAGAATTGGTCAAAACATTTTCATCATCTACTTCATTTTCGTTTGATTTTTCACTCACCTTGCATAACCTTTCTTTATTTCTTTCTTTCCCATATTCGTCTAACCCTAATTAGTATACTATTTTTATGTATTTTAATCAAAAGTATGAATGAGTCCATACGCGACTGGCCAACACTTTGGAGAATTAATAATTTAACAATGAACCACTATATTTTTTCAGCTCAATGTCGAGTCCAATTAAAAATAAATATAAATGGTTATTACTTATTAGAAAGTCGTCATTTTCCACTATGAGAATTGAAGGCGTGAAATTTTAAGCGAGTTCCAGTTTATATTCTTTTTGGCTTCTCTGTAGAGTCTTTCTTTTTCACCCAGGCTAGAATTTTCAACAATTATACATATAAAATAAATAGTTTCCTATTTTTCGATAAAAAAATATAAATAATTATCATCTTAAATACATCACCATAAAAATAATTAAGCCTCAACTATGGAAATTACAGTTTGGTAACTAAACTTAATAGATATTTAGATTTATAATCTAAATTTATTTTTTGGGCATATAAGTCCTCAAATATTGATGGAACATACCATTTTAGTACCTAAAATTTTTTGTATTACATTTTAGTACCTAAACTTTTGAAGTTCTACAAATAGGTATAATTTTTGTATGTGTAATTAAAACACCATTGAATAAATGGGTATCCATACCCAACTCATACACATTTAGATTATGAAGGTAAATATCTATACTCTATCCAAACTCATCTACAAACTTCCAACCTCATATATACGTCCCCCATACCCTACCCATAATTAATGGGTTTACTTGGGTTTTGGTAAATATCATTTATTAGCCAAAATTTTCAAAAAAGTTTAAATTAGATATTGACCACCATATATCTCTTCTCTGTCAATATCATATTGTCAAGTCAATATTACTAACAAAACTGCTAACAAAAGATTAATTTTAGACTAATAATAGAAACAAAACACTATAACGGGCCACATAATACATGTCAATATACCACCTCCGCCACGCGACAAGGCGCAACATCACCACATAGTAATAATAATGATGCAAGTAATAAGCATCTTGTTTGTAATATTTCTTTCTCGCTGTAAATAAAACCATATATGTGAAGTGAATGCGCAACTGACTGTAATGTTTTTCTTTCTCTCGTGATTTTGAATACAAATTCAGAAATTCTATCTCGTCATTTTTATTTATTTTCTTTTTCGTCTTATTAGTTTAAGAGCACGAGTGAGCTCAAACAAAGCTTCTCCAAAATGTAAATGAGTAAATCGGCAGTTTGTTTTAGTAAGAATATAGACCAGGAGGACCAGGTTTTTTTGGCGGCAGTTATGGGGGTGGGAGCAGTGGGGTACATGATAAATACCTAGGGCTACTAACTCTAATTGCCCACTAAAAATGGCGACCTTTCGCTACCAGGAGGAGAAATTGCTTGAAAAACTACAAGAATGGAAGCGGCGTACATTATCTTGGGCAGCTAAGGAAACTCTTATTAAATCCATTGCATTAGCATTGCCTCTCCATGTAATGTCTTGCTTCAAGTTGCCTTTGTCCCTTTGTAGATTGCTTGACAAACATGTCGCCAGATTTTGATGGGGTGGGACAAATGATCAGTCACGAATCCGCTGGGTCTCCTGGCGGAATATGTGTCGTAGTAAACATGATGGGGGATGGGTTTCCGCCGCTTTGAACAGTTTAACCAGGCCTTACTAGCTAAAATCGGATGGCGCATCCTCAATGAACCCACCTCCCTGCTGGCGCAGGTATATAAGGGTAAATACTTTCCGACTGGGAGCTTTCTTCAAGCCATTGCACGCTCCAGGCCTTCATGGGGCTGGAAAAGTGTGCTGTTTGGGAGAGAATTGCTTGAGAAAGGCCTTCGGTGGCAGATTGGGGACGCGAAAAAAGCGTCACTACTCTGGTCGAATTGGATTCCACAAATTCACCCTGACCTCCCGGTGGCTAACCCACAGGTCCTTCCGGTGGGGGGGTGACCCTCGAGTGGAGGAGGTGATGGATCCGAATGGGGGTGGTTGGTCTGATGCCAAGCTGGGCCAGTGGTTTGATCCCCCAACCTGCCGCCGCATCAAGGCTATTCCTTTGCCAAGGCACTCTGTGGAGGACAAACTTATTTGGCATGGTACGGCTGGCGGCACGTTTACTGTTAAATTAGCCTATCATCTAGCTGTTGATCTGGATAAAAGAAATGACCTTTGGGGGTCTATGGCCAACTGGATGGATAGAGCTAGCTTGATTCGACTTTGGGAGGCTAACATCCCTCCCAAAGTTGAAGGTGTTTGTCTGGCAGATCTTTCAGCGCATCCTCCCGACTACGGAAGCACTTATTGAAAAACGGGTCCCTGTTCTCCCTCGTTGTCCGGTCTGTTGGGGGGCATCGGAAACGATGGAGCATTTGTTCTTTGACTGTCCGGTGGCCCAGGCCCTGTGGGACTACTCGGGGCTGGAGCATCTGGGGCAAGGCTTGCCCCACCATACTTTTCCTTTCTTCCTCAAGAGGTTGTTAAACACAATTCAACAACCCTCGGTTTTTATGTCGGTGGTGGCCATTCTCTGGCGGATTTGGAAGTCTCGGAATTGGGTTGTCTTTGAAGGCAAGCAGTTAGGATTCCCGGCCTTGATGTGCTAGTATCACCAGCAGTGTGAGGAATGAGAGAGTGTGATGGGTACCAGGATGTCGCAGGTTATGCCTCCAGGTGTTCCCATAACAAATCACCAGGTGTTGATTCCTTCGATGGTTTGTATGTGGGATGGGGCTACGTGGGCGGGGTCTCATTCGAGTGCTGGAATGGTTTTGCTTGATACGCGCTGCGAGTTACTTTTGGCTCGTGGATGCCAATTCCCTTCGATTGATGATCCTTTGGTAGCAGAAGCTCTTAATCTTAGAGAAGCTCTCTTTTGGTGTGTACACCTTGGTCTCCAGAGTATTTTGTTTGAAGGTGACGCCAAGATTGTTATCGACAAAGTCAACCAAGCCGAGACCAGGGATAGCAGGATTGGGGTGGTTCTGGAAGAAATTGTGTAGTGTTTGAGGAATCATGTGGATTTTAGTATTCGATTCGTAGGTCGGGATAGTAATAGGGTAGCCCATACGGTGACTAGAAAGGCCCTTACTTTGTACCAGCTCATTGTCGATTGTTTGATTTTCAGGCCTGGCTTCGATCCAGGATGTAACTATCTTCTTTTTGATTCATTATATGATTATCTTTTGTCAAAAAAAATCAAAGCCAAATCAGGCCGAAGAAGACACGGGGAGAAAAAAACGGGCCTACCTTGTTACTCATGGAATAATTTCGGATTCAATGCGTGATGTACATATTTATTTAATTGTTTCAAAGTAATAATCATCAATACTACCAACCATTCACGCAACTTCACCAATCATTCTAATTGTATATTTGTATGATTATATGGGGTAAGATATTATAATCACATAAAGGACTATTCTTCATTTTTTAAAGGCCAAGGTTAGGTGCTAACTGCTAATGGGAGGGGTTAGGATGCTAACTCACATTTTGTTAGTATGATATGATGCTAATCAGTGGCGGATCCAAAAACTTTTTATAGAGGTGTCCTCGTTCAAAAATTAAATTTAATTAAAAATAAATAATTTAATTAAATAATTAATAAATAAGAAAATATTCAACTAGTACAAATTTTAAAAAAAGATCATGACGTGTTTTCAGATTATAAAAAAGAATATAGAATAGACACGGTGTCTACACTGCTTAACAAATCTGTATATCATACTAGAAAAATTCACGAACTGATTACATATTTGATTCTAACCTTGTTTTTTATGTAACTCAAAGTTTAAAAGACTCTTTCAACACTTGTCGTGTAACCATGAAATTAAATCAAATTAAGAGTAACCTGTAATTAGTTTAATTGTTAAGTTTTCAAAACAGTTTGGGATAAGGAATAATTTTTACTATTACATAGTGTTTAAAAAGGAACAAAAAATGAGTTGCAACCTAGTGGATAATACGTTTAATAATAGTAGTGTCCTAGTTTTGAATAACACAGATTAACACTTATGTTTTTAATCATATGCAAACTACATGGATATGATAATCGTTTTTTCAAATTTTAGTGGTGTCTCAGATTATTAATTATATTTTCTTTTATTTATACAAAACTACTACCGGAAATTGAATAATAGTTTTCCTAAATTTTAGGGATGTCCCGGGACACTCCTAAAGTCCCATGTATCCGCCCCTCCTGATGCTAATACTAGTTCCAACTAATTGACGAGAGAAGAGGTAACAAAGGTGCACGCTGATAATTATTATGAAAAATTGGGAGATGGGACCAAACACGTGTGTGCATTAAGTGGGGAGCGGGTGCATAAATTATGTGGATTTAGAGATGGCAAAAATATCCGTAACCGTTGATATCCATCCGAATCCGACCTAATCGGGTAGGGTAAAACCCGAACCGAAGCGTTTTTCGTGGGTACGGGTAAAACCCGAACCCGAATGTTGCGGGTAATGGGTGGGTATGGTTATCTCACTATCAAACCCGAACCCGCCCGATTATACACATGCATATGTATTTTGTCTAGAAATAATCATTATTTTTCTCTAGAATATTTTATATTTAGCATATAAATATAATATTTTCATGAAATTATGTTGTTTTAATAAATTTTCATCATTCTAGTGAATTATTGTCGTACTTTTCCTCTTACGTCATGTGAGTATATGTGTGAATGTTAACATATTGGTTGGAATTATAAGGAGAAATTATTACCCATGGATAACCGTGGATACCCGAAACCCGAACGGGTATGAGCATGGTTTTGATTTTTTACCCGTTTCTCGTATGGGTAAAGGTATGGGTAAAACCGGCCCGAACTACATTGAGTAGGGTAACGGATATGCACTATCCGCCCCGACCCGACTCATTGCCATCCTTAATGAGGAATCACCAACCACAAACACACACACAAGAAATCACACCACAAAAAACACGCACCCAAAAAGTTTACAAACTAGAAAGCATCCCACAACCTCAACATACCACAAAAGTCATAAACCACACCACAAAATTAATAAAGCATATTAAGTAGGACTGGCTATTTGGTCCGAACTTTTTGGTTTTATCCGAAACCGGACCATATAATCCGGACCGAGACCGGACCGAGACCGAATAGCAAACAATCCAATCCAATTTTTGGTCCTAGATTTCAGGTAAAAAAACCATTTGGGACCGGAGCAAAAATCGGATAAAGACCAGATAAGAGGGCCAATACCCAAAATTTAACCTTCGCATCATTTAAGGCCTTAGGCCACTCAAATCCCCACAAGCTCAATCTAAAATCAAGACCGAATTGGGACCGGACCGGATCAAGACCTGTATCCAATCCAATCTTTGGTTCTTATATTCTCGAAAAAACAAGACCGGGATCAGATCAATTCGGGCCAATTTAATCGGACCGGACCGTATAGCCACCCCTAATATTAAGGTTTGATAATATACCACAACCTCATCACACCACAAGTCTCCTAAATCATACCAAAAACCTCATAAGCATACCACAGGTTCATTAAAGCATACCATAATTTTATTAATGCACACCACAAGTTTCAAAAAGCATATCACAAGTTCATTAAAGCATAACACAAGTTCATTAAAGCAGACCACGAGTTTTTTAAAACACACCACAAGTTTTATGAAGCATGTTAGAAACCTCACATAAAACAGACCACACGTTTTTTTAAAGCCTAATACCAGAAAATAGTCTATAGTTTAGCCTTTGTATCATTTGTACCCTTATGTTTATCCCGTGTCAGTTATGTCCCAACGTTTTGAGTCTCCATATCAATATTAACCTCCGTCGTTTCATTTACTGTTAGACTTAACGATCAATTAAACGACGATCAACATTTTGTGGACTTTGTGCCAACATGTATGTCATGTCATTGACACGTTAGAGAATCATATTTTAAAAAATTTAATTAAAAAAATAAGAAAATATACCCACAGCACATATATTCCTTTCTAACCTAAATTAATAAATCCAAAAAAACCCTTTACTTATTTTATCATTCTTACCTGTACACACAGACAATCGGAGAAAACAAAAACCATGCGCAGGACCGAGATTGGGTGAATTGGAGACCAACGACGATCGATGTCTTGGAGCAAGGGTGCGGCAAGGAGTGGGTGGATTGGAGAACGATAGCAATTGACGAACTAGAGCGGATCAAAATAGGAGGCCGAATCTAGGTTTCTAGGTTGAAGCTCGGAGGTCGAATATGGGAACTTGAAGCTCGCCTTCGTCCTCTATCTTTCAATCTCTCTGGCTTTCAGTGGCGGCGATACGTGATCGGTTAGCTGAGAAATAGACGGAGCGAGCAGTACCGAGAAGGAGGCTAGACTTCGCCGTCGATTCGAGCGCCGACTCCGCCTTGTTCTCGTTCGTCATCGATTTGAGTGCGGACGACTCCCCTTTTCTCGATCGCCGTCGATTCATTCGGATGGAGAAATCGAAGATGCACGAGCCTTTTGGGGAAGCCTTATACCATTTGGCTTTTAGACTGTTGACATTATGTAAATTTAGACTCAAATTCTCCAAACGTTGTCTTACTCTTTCAAGTGAGTGGGACGCTTAATCTACATCGTGAATTGTATTCGATAAGATATTGCTTCTGCAATTAGTATACTAAGCAAGGTTGTTAAACCGTTTTATACTGTTGTACCGGTTTGGTAAGTGGAACAAACCGTGGTACAATCAGCTTGTACAGATTCATGTTGGTTTAACAAAATATGTAAAAATGCAAAAAATATTAGCATCCAATGAATTTAATCATATATAAAATATATTTTTGGACAATTTACTTACAATCCAACAAATAACTTCAACTTTTGACTTTTAAATTCATGACATAAATAATAAATTAATTTTAATTGAATTCACTAAAACAACGTCAGTTTACTTAAAATTCATAAGTCAATCATGCGGATAATACCGGTGGTGCTCATACCGATTTCATGACACACAGGTTGAACCAGGTCCAATCGACCGACATGCCACCGGCATGACAACCATGATACTAAGTCTATACCAATAAAAATAATATGTATTGGATGGTAATGAGACGTATTTTGGAATATCTATCTACAAAGATTTTCCTTTGTATTAGAAAACTTATCCAACATTAGTTGAAGAATATATTGATCTCAATTTTCTATCACTTAATCAAAAGAAAATCCACTAATGAATATGGGTTTATGATTTATTGGGGGAGCAGTGTCTAAACTAAAGCTGTTCAAAGCAAACTTGAGTTGCCCATTCACCTATGAGTTCATAGCTTTGGACTTGGTCTTTTTTGTTTTTTTTGTTTTTTTGCCATTAGATCTTCTCTAAAAAAGAGAGAGGAACAAAGATCTACAATTTTACAAGGAAACCTGTCTACAACAAAAACAAAAACCAAAGTCAAACCCCGAAAGAATTCGGAGTGACAAGATCAGAGCCAAAACGACCACCAAATGAGCCACTCTGAAACCATTACACCCAACGAAACCAAAAGGATCCCTCCCTACCACCAAGCCAAGATGTAGAACAACTGCCACCGTCCAAGTCCAAAACAAACAGAACCACCATCTCGTCCTCCATGGACATAGCCACATCAAAGAAACCCTGCATAGGAGTGGAAGACGTTGCATCCCCCTCAAGCTGAAACCCTGCAACCAACACTTCCTTCTCATCCATTCTACAAAGGGTCTTGATTGACAATTCAAGAGGTATATCTGAAAACCAAACAAACGCACCATAACACATGACAAATAGGGGCAAACACCAACCCACAATTCTGAAGCACAAACAAAAGAACCGAACAATCACCAACACAACATATCGAACACAGAGACATCAACCTACTGCCAAGTAGTGAAAGAAGAACACAATAAAAAACAAAACGAAATGAACAAACAATAGCTACAAAACTACTACAATAAAAGAGACGCATAAACAATAAAAAGGAATGGTTAAGTCGATAACCTAGACCTTTGAAAAGATTGGAACACCAGAGCCGAACCAAAACCCAAACAAGTCCACGAAGGAAAATTGAGAATGAACACTGAACACGAGAAGGGAACACGAAACCAAGAAATATAGAATGAAAAAACTGAACAAACAACGAGCACGACACAGGATCTATATGCGCGGGGGATACACACGACTTCCTTAGATACTTGGAACGAGGTGATGGTGGCGACTGAATATGCATGATCTCCAAACCGATTAAGATGGGAACCATTCCAGCACCAATTACGTGCAAGAAAACCGAAATTAGTCAACCATACATACATGGGTGATACCCACGACTACTAAATTACCCACAAAGCAGAACCGGATCAAGTGACAATGGAGAATTGCCCCATCGTCGCCAACTGCGCATCGGGAACCACCTCCATATTGCTTGAAACCGCTCGGAACTGCTCTATCTCAAGAGAGAAGACGTAGCGTTTTTGGTCGCCACTAGTTTTCTCCAAAAATAAAGGCCCAAACCCACAAATATGAGTAGATCTACGTCTCGGAAACCAATCATATGCCTCTGGAGGCCCATTGGTCAGCCTCGTCAAAGAACATTCCGGGCCTGAAATGGACTACAGTTTAAATTGAAGCTAGCTAAGGCATCTGACCCAGAATGTTGGCCTGAAACAAAATTAAAACCCGACTTTGAGAAAATCAGCACTTTCATTTCCAAGCAAGTTAATCACGTGTAGACGTACTCCACATTTAGTCGTGTACACGTGATTAACTTGCTTCGAAATGAAAGTGCTGATTCTGTTATCCCTCGGGGAAGGATTCCAGGGTTTGGATGGACACTGAAAATGGAGCCTATTCTGTTAAGTCGGCTTACAAATTCATTCGAGGCAACCAACATGTCACGTTGAACCGGCTTCACAATAGAAGTTCGGAGGACCCTGAGTTCTGGAAGTATTTGTGGAATATTCAGATTCAACCTAAGGTTCGTATCTTTCTATGGAAGGTGAGTAAGAACATATTACCTGTGGGAGTGAACGTGGAGGAGTGGATTGAGAGTGCAGCGCCGAAATGCCCCTTCTGCAACCTTCCAGAAACTCAAATCCATGCCCTTCGAGAGTGCGAGTGGATCAGAAGGAGATGGAAAAACTGTGAAGAAAAGGAGCTATATGAGATGGAAGAAGGAAAGTCTTGTATTGACTGGTTGGCACAAAATTTCAAAACTGCACCGATGGAGAGAATCCAAAGGTTCTGTGCTATATTGTGGTTCTTATGGAAAGTGAGATGTAATCACAAGTACAACAATTTGAAGCTGGATGAGAAAGGGATCATACCAAAAGCGCTAGGGTGGCTGTCCTCCTTCCTGGAAGCTCAGTCTTCTCCATCCTCGACAATCTCTACAGGTCCGGCCAGGCACACAATCGCTAGAACAGATCGATGGCTTCCCCCCCCCCCCCCCCCCCCCCGAGGGAGTCTTCAAGATGAATTGTGATGCAGGAGTGATCCAGCAACAAGGAATTGGATTGGGATCTATTATTCGCAACTGGAGGGGTGAATTTGTTGGGGCGATGGTGAAGAGAGAAAAGGGGATCTGCAGGCCTATTGTTGCTGAAGCAAAGGCGATGGTGATGGGATTGCGTGAAGCTCTGGTGAATCAGATTGTCAAGCTCTGGTGAATTTGCTGGAAAAAGGCGAGTCAGATTATACTGAACTGGGAATTTGGTGCGAAGAGCTTAAGGAGCTAGCTTTGGTGAATGAAAAGATGTCAAGTTACAAGATCAGATGGAGGTTCTCGTCGAGGAAAACAAACTCTTTGGCTCACTGGTTAGCTCATTCTGGGTCGGGTTGGAATCATCAGGTGGTTTGGGTGGATAACTCTCCGATTAATTTTCTTTGTATGGTGGAGGCTGATTTGGGTCTAGGTCCTATGGGCCAGAACTAATCTTTCTAATAATATTGACCAGATTGCCTATAAAAAAAATCACGGTCAAAATCGCCAAACAATCCCCCAAGCCGTGTCCGGTCAAAATCCTCGCCGGCGTACTAGGCGTGGTGGCCAGGAAGTTCCGTGAAATTGATAAACCGCGTTGATAAAATTAAATGGGATTTTGAAGTTTTTGGAAAATGAAAAAAATAGATAGCCAATGAGGAAATGACATGTGAAGGGGTAGCAGAAGCAGGCGGCAACCTAGGTTGCAGCTAAGTATTACCCTTTATATTATACATATGGAGGTTGCATTGCATGGACACCCAATTCTATCTAAGTTGTTTGACCGTTGACGTACGGCACAGTAATTCCTCTCCTTTAAAAAACCACAATAGTACATACGAACCAAAACAAAACAAAACAAATATTTATTATTAATAATGAGTCCTATTGTCGCCGGATGCGTGCAACAGGAGAGGAGAGTAAAGAAGAATGTCAACGATACTAATAATGAAAGCTTAATTGCTTGGACAGATCTAGCTCTCGTTATCTCTGGTGCAGAATCAACCTTTATCTTGCCATCGTCAATAGCTAGGTAGGCGCTGTTTATTTCTTGGACAGAGTAGGCTGTTTGTGTCTACGGTGTGTATCTCCATTAAAACTAGTTTTGGAAACCGAAAGCAAGATAGCATAACGATAAAACGGTTGCAACAGTAAAGGTTTGTGAGTTGCAGATCCCAGGTTCGATCCAAGATATGAGGTTGTTGGGAGCAAAACAGTTGAAGATGAGTTTACTAAATAATAATAAATAAATAAAAACTAGTTTTGGAAGTGGAGGCAGGCTCGACCTCCCTATAAATAACATCCTTGCTAGCAAGCTATACAGTCTCGTCCCAAAACCTGAAACAATCCTAAATCCTTCCTTCCTGTGTTGGAAAAAAGGGAAAAACAGGAAAACAAATGGAGAGGAAACAGGAAACAGTGTGGATTGCTGTGGTTATGTTAATGGTGTGTTGCCTAATAGCATTTGCTCCAACAGTGACTACTGCTGCGTCTCGACCCTCCACCGGGATTGCGAACCCTCCATTGCTGTCGTCATCCTCCAACAGTGATGGAGGCGCCTCTTCTCCATCGTCACCTCTTATTCACAAAAGTAAATCGTTTGTTGATTCCTTAATTTCCATTTAATTATGCTTTAGTTTTCAAGAAGGAATTACTTTTTTTTTTCTCTACTAGCTAGCGAGCTTGCTTGTCGACGTTGATCCGGGATTAGCCATGCGATACAAGACACAAGTAGACTTCAATGCTTGCAAGATTTTCCGTCGGTGATAGAGACATGAATTTTTTTTAATTGGATTTATCTTTTCACTACTAAAGAATTAATGACATAGCATAATCCTCTCCCGATTGAATTCCTAGGTATTATTTTTTGACTACCATCAACCGAATCCCAAATGAAATGTAGGTTTTGCAATCCGAATGGTTACTACGAGTTTGAATCTAAAAAAGTCCACCCAACAAACAATTGAGTTCTTCAAATTTATGATACTTTAGGATTTGGGTGTCATCATCCAAATCTCACAACCAAACGACTCCTAACTGTCAATGATCACTAATTTTTTTCTTCATAATATTGTACAATGGTTATGCATATTTTGCGGATTGAACACATATGCTTGTAAAGGACCAATAAGTCCCAATAACTCGAGTTGTTGGGAGCAATGTAATAAAAATTGTGTTTTTATGTAGAAGCGTTTGGGTGACCTAAAAGCGTGAAATCAAAGACTTTTAATCTTTAAAGTGTAAATTTTGAGTACAATTGTAAGTGAAACGTGCAATTCTACATAAAAGCGTTTTGGTGACCTATAAGTGTAAAAGCGTAACCTTTTATGTTTTAAAACACGATTTTGACTACATTGGTTGGGAGAGGTTTAGTTGTGGATCATATATAATTTATTAACACACCCCTTCAAACGAAAACAGAGTAAAAAAGGCTTGAAGTTTGGACAGGTTCAATATTGAGTGCTTAACTTAACAAATGAATGTTATTGCAATTTGAACAGAAGATCTCTCGATCACGTAAGGATCTGATACTATGTCAAGAATAAGTTAGTCATAATAACTCGAGTTGTTGGAAAATGTTAAATTGCGGATCATAAACCATTTATTAACAACGGTATGCCGTGCCAACTAGGTGATGATTCAAGTATAAAAGAGGTATATCGTGCGACACACCTCCGCCCGGATTTTTTTTTTGAGAGACCCAAGTTTTTTCATTAGAACAATTTCAAATTCAAGATCTGCGACACACCTCCAATAATTGTATGTTAATGAAATTTATAAATTCGCATGAAAAAAACGAAATTTATAAACGTTTATTTTAATTTTTACTTAATATGGCTTCTACTCTGCACAAAAAAATGGTAGTGTATTATGCACCAATTCTAAATAGTGATGAATATATTTTACAAACCTTTCCTAATATGAAATTTTTTCGTGACTCTTTGTGGAAAAACAACCAAATAGTGAATTTATTAAATTAATATCTTATTTATTATTGAACATAAATCATTTTTATCTTCAACATACCTATTGAAAATTCTTGGACCCGCCACTTATGCCAAGAATATCTTACTCACTTGAATCACTCAGCACGAATGATGATTGCAATTACAACAATATATATACATAACCCCACACAACATTAGTTTTCTGTAATTGATATGAATGAGCTCCAAATTTAATGGTTGGATGTAGGTATTTGATATTTTGTTGTTGAAACTACTACGTGCAGATAGCGACGCCGTGGTGTGCTGCTTCGCCAACTTCTTCACTTGCTGCACCAGCACTTGTTGCTGATGCACCACAATATTATTAGCTTGATCCAAGTTCACGGAGGCAGCTTCTAAATGGGTGGGTGGATCCTTGGACTCACTTTAGCTCGAGAGAAGAATAATAAAAAACAATATTAAGCGATTGTTTGTTGCTTTTTTGTGTATGTTAAATTCATGTACTGTAATGAATAAAAGCTATAGTACATGTACCGATGAAATAAGTATAATTAAGGATACAATCTAATATATGATACAACTTTTGGTGATGTGTTCGAGAACTTAAACCTTTGACTATATGATAATATATACATCAATTTTTCAACCATGAAACTCTAACCAATTAGCTTGAAATAACTTTGTCGTTCATAATATATATTCATGAGGCAATGTAGTCTCCGCAAGGTTAAACCTATCTAACTATTATGTTTTGTTCTTTCAGTATATTTATTTATCAACTAGTTTTCTTGATGTCAAACGCCACTTCAACCAAGTTAGACAATAATTTTTTGCAATGAGGTAACAACAACACCGTTTAAATTTGAATAAATTAAAAGATAAATTAAAAGACCCCGACTACCAATCGTAACGGCTGATAGTCCGATTCAAGTCACATGAACTTAATTTCATAATAAATAATTTGTACATTATGAACGTAAGTTGATGTTCTCTCTATCAAGTCAGAACGTAACAAATCCAGATGATTATAAATTGGCTCGCTCGCTCTATATAAGTTGTGGTCAACTTTTATCCTTATTTTTGTCCACTATGGGAGGGAATGGATTAGTAACGGTCGGGAAATGAAACGATAACCAGGATAATATAATATTCTATCTAAATATAATAATATGCATATGTCAAAGGTACGTACGGCTCGGTAATTCCTCCAATGAAACACACCAATGTAAACCTCTCTTGCATGCAACCAATCTTTTTTTTTCCCGAGAAATGCCAAAAACATAGTTAGAAAGAACCACTACCCACAAACCCTTCCCATCCCATTTACAAGCCAACCAACAAAGTCAAAAGAAACTAACTCTAGCCGGGACAGCAGCAGGGCTTTACGTGCCACTCTATGAGCAGCCCAGTTGACAGTCCGCGGAACTGCCCTAAAATCTATACAAAAAGAACAAGACTCAAGAAGAAAACAACAATCTCGAAGAATGGGGCCACCAATCGAATCCTCCACCAAACGAAGCTTGAGCTGACGGATGACCACTTCTGCATCGCCTTCGATGATAACCGGAGACAAACTTCTAGAACTTGCAAGAGAGATTGCATCCCTGGCTGCAAGGAGTTCTGCAAGTTAAGGATCCGAGATACCATAATGTTGAGCACCCACGGCAAGAAGCACATGCCCATCCGAGCCGCGTACAACCAGGCCAGACGAGGAGCCAGCACTTTGGAGAGCAGCATCAAAGTTAATCTTCAAAGAGCCTTGAGGCGGGCAATCCCAAAGAAGAGGTCTAGCAGAGGCAGGAGCACGAGGAAGGGGAGACGAGTCAGGCTGGGCAGAGAGAACCTCGCGGATTTGGAAAGAGAATTGGCGGGCTAACGAACGGACATGAGGCTGGGTATTTTCAAATACCACTTTATTTCTTGATTTCCATATTCTCCAAAGGAGACACACTATCTGGAGAATATGGGTTTGGGACTGCTCATCTAGCATAATTTGACGCCACCACAAACTAAAATTTTCCCTTGGGGCCGAGTTCAGTAAATCACTTAATCCCACAAAATACCAAAGTTGGATGGCAAGGGGGCAACAAAAAAACAAATGTTCTATACTTTCTTGGAACCTCCAACAAACAGGGCAACGACTTAGACAGTTAACCCCGCGGGATTTGAGAGCCACTATTGTAGGGAGGACCACTTTCAAACATTGCCAGATGAAGAATCTGAGTTTTGGAGGAGTCTCGATGACCCACGTCTTTTTCCAAATGGGAGTATCAATAATATGAGCCAATGATTTTCTATTTGGAATCAATATACCTTCTAACGCCAAATGATATCCCGTCTTGACTGAATACTTACCATTTTTTGTGAAGTGCCATACTCTGGCATCTGGTTGAGCAGTCCGCGGAAGAGCCATCTTACAAATAAGGTCAACTGATTGGGCATCAAAACAATAGTGGAGACGCGGCACATGCCACTCCCCTATTCCTTCTCTTATAAAAAAGGACACTTGCGGAGCAGAGTTAATGGTACCCAACCTAATTATAGGGCTTTCGGGCTTTAGAGCTGGGATCCATAGGTCATAGAAAGCGTTGATATCATGGCCATCTCCTACTTGCCAACGTAATCCTTGAAGGAGGAGCTCTCGCCCATAAAGTAGACTTCGCCATCCCCATGATGGGTTGGACCCCACCCGAGCCTCTAGAATGGACGAAGAGCTAAAGTAGCGGCCTTTATAGATCTGGCCTAACAGAGATTCTGGGTTAGTCCAGATACGCCAACATTGTTTTGCCAAGAGCGCTTGATTAAACGCCTGAAAGTCCCTAAATCCCAAACCGCCATGGAATTTACTTTGAGCTATTCCCCTCCATGAGACCCAATGAATAGGGTGTTCATAATTTGTAGAGGATCCCCACCAAAACCTGGCTACTTGTCCGTTCAACTGACGACAGGTTTCTTTAGGAAATTTAAAACATGACATACCATGAACAGGCAAGTTAGTCGCAGATGTTCTTATAAGTGTATCCTTGGCTGCTTTGGATAGAGCCCTTTGCTTCCAAGCATCAAGTTTCTGCCGGAACTTTTCCTCAATGAATAGAAAAGCATCTCTCTTAGACCTTCCTAAGACGGAAGGTAACCCAAGGTATGAGTCTTGCTCTCCGATGCTACCAACCCCCAGTTGTGTTCCCATTGACTGTGCAGCATCCGGAAGGGTATTCCGACTGAACCTTACAGCAGATTTGGCCAGATTCACCCTTTGCCCACTGAGCCCTTCATACACTTGCAGAAGAGAAATCAGAGTTGTACATGACGAAGACGAGGCTTCGAGGAACAAAAAGGAGTCATCTGCAAAGAAAAGATGGGAAACCATCGGGCATGTAGGTCGGATTCGCACTCCTTCCAAGAATCCCATAGACACAGCCTGACTCAACAAGCCAGAGAATCCTTCTGAGCATATAGCGAAAAGCAGAGGAGAGAGAGGATCCCCCTGTCTGAGTCCTCTAGAAGGTCGGAAGTACTCGGTTGGGTTACCGTTAATGATTATAGAATATGAGACTGTAGTAACACATTCCTTAATCCAGGCTATGAACTTGGGGTGGAACCCTAATTCCTTCATCATTTCCAACATGAAAGGCCATTCTATGCGGTCATATGCTTTCTCCATATCCAATTTCAGGGCCATCCACGTCTTTTGACCTGCAGATATGGTTTTCAGGTGATGAGTGATTTCATGACTGACCAAGATATTATCAGTAATCTGACGCCCCTTGATAAACCCATTTTGGGACCCAGAGATTAGTCGGGGCAAAACCAGACTAAGCCTATTAGCCAGGATTTTTGAGATTATTTTATAAAAGACTTGGCACAAGCTAATTGGACGTAGATGCTTCATGGTTCGCACCTCCGCTACTTTAGGAACAAGGGATATCCACGTACGATTGAAGCTCCTTAGGAGGTGTCCAGAATGAAAGAAAGCAAGTACTGCTTGGACGATATCGGGGCCAACTATGTCCTAGTATGCTTGAAAGAAGCCAGCAGTGAAACCATCCGGTCCGGGAGCTTGAGTTTTTCCCATACTAAAGACCACCTTCCTAACCTCTTCCGGTGTGACCGGTGCAATCAATCCCCTCCAAGCTGTGGCTTTGGAAAAGGTCTTTATAATAACTCAATGCTATATCGCATTTGCCCCCCTCTGTCGTGGTCCATCTTCCCATACTATCCTCCAAACCCCAAATAAAGTTCTTTTGGCGTCTTATTGCATGCAACCAATCTAAGAAGGACAACTATATATATGGTGCATTCTACAGTACCCCGGGTGAAATCCGTGGTATCGCATACCTTGAGTATGAAAACACTATCTAGATCTCGAATTAGCAGGATTTTTTGGCATGATACTATACCCTAACCCTTAATGAGTGAACCCTAGGTCCTAATTATCTAAATCATAAACTAAAAACTCTAAGATGGTGTATTACTTTTTTTGCCTATATTTGGACGAATCATAACCGGTGATTATTGTTTCCAATTAAATTGATCTTTATGGGTTAGAGTATAGTATAATGTCCGAAAGATCAATCAATTCAAGTTCTAGATAGAGTTTTCTTACTTAAGGTATGCAGTACCCTGGATTTCACCTAGGGTACCGTAGAACTCCACATATATATATAGTTTATGAATGAGAATGTGCTAGCAAAAGGATGAACGATCGATATAGACCCATATCTGACTGTCAGGATCCATCTAATGGTATATGAGAACTGGCGTAAGACATTTTCGGAATCAGCATTGCATTCGGTCCAATTTGGTTCTATCTCAATGTCATTTTGGTAATTTCTTTTTCAGTATTTATAAAATTATGAGTGCAAAAACCAAATCATATTATATTCGATTCGATCCAATCCAAATGTCAATTGTACGAAACAAATCATCACACACCCCTACAAAGCTAGCTTCTATCTCTCCTCTACACGTCCCTTCTTGTTGGTGTTGGACCTATGTCAAGTCAGAATTGACTCCCCTCCTTCCTCGACCGTTTCTAATTTGAAGGAAGCTTCATTTCAGAAAGGAAAAGTGAAGATCATGGGAATTGACAGGATCTTCTCCAACGGCTAGTCTTGGCTGTCTTTTTATACTCTTTTCCAGAAGCATTGGAAGGCACTTTTGAGGAAGAAAAAACTGAGTGGAATAGGGCTTGGCTTGCAAAAGGGTAATATTAGAGGGGTAAAGGTTCTCTAGTGTTGTGGCTGTTCAGATCAGTGTTGAAGTTCTTGTTGTTTTTCTATTACTGTATGATTGGTTCTTTCGTTTAGAGTCATAAACTGAAAAATCAACAAAGGGTCTCCCATACTGTATTCTGGGACGTGGAAGTACACCATTGCACT